CTCCCTCTGCCTATGTCTCTCTGCCTCTCTCCCTCTCTCTCTGTGACTATCATAAATAAATAAAAATTTAAAAAAATAAAATAAAAATAAAATAAAATAGTAGTTCCAAGAATCCCCATTTGACCAAAGATAAATTATCATAAGGACTTCTTTTAAAGACTAGAAATATGTAGAGAGAGTAAGGACAAAGTGGTAGTTGGGACTGTATGACCTTATCCTAATCCCTTAACTCACCTGTAGCTCTGTTCCGAAACACCAATGTGGAAGATGTCCTCAATGCCCGAAAACTGGAGCGAGACTCACTTCGGGATGAGTCCCAGAGGAAGAAGGAACAGGACAAGCTGCAGAGGGAGAGGGACAAACTAGCCAAGCAGGAGCGCAAGGAAAAGGAAAAGAAAAGGACACAAAGAGGGGAGCGGAAGCGATAACCTTGGTCCACTCTGTTCTTTCTCTTCATTGACTTGATCAAAGGGAGAAGTGATTGTGCACACGTGTATTTAAGAGAAATGAGAGAACATTGCAAAGTGGTTTCCCAAGGCATTTCCCTTTTGTTTACATGGTCAAAAGGAAAATCACAGACACTTCTAATTACAACATGTGCCATGTCTCTGTGGTGTGGGTAATCAGATTATTGAAGTTGATGTCTGTACCAAAGATCTGGAATGGGGGCAACTTTTATATTTTAATACTGAAGTCCTGGCTCCTTTTGGCCACTTTACAAGTCTTCCCTCACCTAGGATAAATAGCAGAAATATTCAGAAAGCTTGACAGTTTTCATCCTGAAGGAGCAGAATCATGACCACTCCTTTCCTGAGATGAAATTTGGGAGTGTAAAGTACTTTGAAAGTAGCATTTACCCCTTAATGTATTATTTTATGGATGAAATAGAAAACAAATGAAGAGCCCTACCTGGATCTAGATATTATGTTAACATGGCCACGAACTATGAAAACGGAAGAAATGATGTAGATATTCTAGATTTGACTTTTTTTTTTAAAGCTTCAGCCCGTGGGAGGGAAAAGAAGTATCTTTTTAAAAAATATAGTTACATATTTTGAAAAAGAATGTGTATTGAGTGGAAGAATATCATTGTTAGCTAGATTCATTTTTTATAATCATGAGCCCTTGAGTGCTAGTAGAGATTTTAATCCTGATCTGCCCTAAAACAGGAGTATAAGGACACGATAATTATAGGTTGAGAGAAACTTCAGGAACCATGCGTTTAAGGAAGAAACACTGGAAATCTCTGCTAACACAAAGATATTTAAGAGTGTACTTTGTGGGTGCTCAACAAATTTAATGAGTGAATGGGAAAAACCTGGGAGAGTCCAAAGTGAGCAGAAACTCTCCATTTCTACTTTTGTCACAAGCCACATTCAATTGTAAATAAGGCCTTTTCTTCAGGCAGCCGACTCAAGAAACCTGAAGGGAGTAATCTCCCTGACAAGACAGAAAAGAAGTATTGTATACCTGAGGCTGGCAAACTACTGTAGGCAAGCAAATTTGGCTGTTTGTTTTTGCATAGTGCAAGTCAGCAATGGACTTTGCATTTTTAAAGGGTTGTAAAAGAAGGAATATATGACAGAGACCTTTTGTGGTCTATGAAACCTAAAATATGTACTGTGTGGCCCTTCAGAGAAAAAGTTTGCCAACCTCTGTTTTATACCATTAACCAAGAGGTTAACCAAATTTTTTACCTTTGTGCAGAAGGTCAAAAAGCATGGTTAAGGAAAAGATGTGTCATCTCTATACACTCCTATAACCGTGGCATTGCATTTTTAAAAAGTAACCATCTTTTAAAAAAAATAAACTATTTAAATCACTGTTTTCTGATTCCTTCCAGCTATTCATGGAAATGTGTGAACAGTCACTTAGCAGTGTGTTGAATTCTGCTTTATATTTTGTTTTGATTAGCCCAATACGCTCTCCTGTTAGTTGAACCTCTTCCTAGAATCAAATTCTCTGCCTCCACTTTCCTTTCCGTGAGGTTGGGTGTTAGGAAATTACCAAGATTAACTTTTTTTGGAAGTCAGTAAGTTGACTTTGAAGTCCTTACAAGTGCTTATGTTGGTGTGTTTGTCTTCTGTGACAGTAGCAATAGGCTGTGGCTACAGATAGCTTATGAGAGCACCTCTTTGATTAACCCTTATTTTGGATTTTTGATTTATTCTCACCTTGATTTTGGTATCTGAAGCAGAGCCAGGTTATATCCATGGACCCCTGAAGGATACTTGTTTTAGTGTTATAATAGTAGCCAGTTCTTATGGGACTCTATTATGTATATTACAGTTAGGTGTATACTTGAAATAAGGTTTATTTATTTTTTGAACTAAGGTTTAAATAGGAAAAAAAGGATCAGCTCATTAGGCTGAGGAAGGTTATTCATTTAATTCAGTTGCTAATAAATCCTTTATGTCTAAAATGTTCAATATTGCAAAGGGCAGATTTTAAACAACCAGTATCTTTATGTAGTATGATGGACATTTTAGGCCAGAACCAAGATTTCATTCATAACGTTAATTCCAGCCCACTACAACTTTATAGGCAGATTATTCAAGTGAGAAGGATGCTGATAGAATTCAAGGCAATTTTATTTTTTCTTAAAGATTTATTTATTTATTTATTTATTTATTTATTTATTTATTTATGATAGACATAGAGAGGCAGAGACACAGGAGGAGGGAGAAGCAGGTTCCATGCCGGGAGCCCAATGTGGGACTTGATCCAGGGACTCCAGGATTGTGCCCTGGGCTAAAGGCAGGCGCTAAACCGCTGAGCCACCCAGGGATCCCCAAGGCAATTTTCAACCACTTTTATATAAATTACTTTGTATGTTAAAAAAAATACACCAAATTCTTTTGGATTAGAAGGGATAGGAGCATTGGTTTTTATCAGTTTTACTAATTATATGTATTTTTTGTTGTCCTCGGTTGTAATTCAGAAGGACAATACATGTGAACCATTCCTTTATTTTAAAAAAAAAATTATTTATTTATTCATGAGAGACACACAGAGAGGCAGAGACGCAGGCAGAGGGAGAAGCAGGAAGAGAAAAGCAGGCTCCATGCAGGGAGCCAGACATGGGACTCAATCCCGAGTCTCCAGGATCACGCCCTGGGCTGAAGGCGGCACTAAACCACTGAGCCACCGGGGCTGGCTATGAACTATCCTTTAGAGAGTATACTACAGAGGGATAACCAACTAATATGAGAATTATTTGCAGGGTGATGTGATGAACAGAATTTAAAAGAATTTTTGTGTTTGGTTTTTGTTAATGGATTAGTGTTTCATTTCTCAACACTGTCCTGTTAAAACTTCCCCAGAACTTTTACTCTGGTTTGCCTGGATTAATATAAAGGCAGAGCAAAAACTTCATCTTTGAAGGATGTTAGGTTCAATGCAAGGATACCTGAATGGCAGTGGTTTGTCTACCAACATCCTTTCTTCTATATTAAGAACTGGCACTGAGTTTTAAATTTTATTATCAGTGAAATGAAATTTGATTGGTTTATCTGCAGGACGCTTAATGTTAGAAACTAATATAAAGATGTAAAAAAAGAAACCAAATGTTTTCAACAAAGTAATTTATTAATTTTTTCCTGAGAGACTAAATTCAGTACAATATTAGTTTTCATAACATCCAACGTCTTATGTCAAACTTAACCACTTTCTATGCAGTGAGTGTGGTGGGGTGATCTATTTTATTTGACTACCCTCAATGTAATTCATTTGGGTAGTTCTAAAGCATATCAGTGATCAAAATGTTTCTCCCTACAGTTACTCCTGCATTCTCAATCAGTTACTTCTGCACATCATCTAAAGAAAATTTATGTGGTGTGATTACACTCTTTAATACCAAGATTTCTAAAACTAGGAAAAACACCAACATTTAAAAAATCTAGTGTTTCTAGTCAAGGATAGTTCAATTAAATTTCATCAGTACATTATATTATAGTTTAACTCATGCTAGAAATGTTAAAACCCAAGATCTTCTGAGTCACATAATACCAACATTTCATATTACTGAATAAATTACTCGGGTTTCCGACAAAGATATTAGGTGATGAGAAACAGAAAAGGCCAAGCTTTCAAGAGCTGTTTTAAAAAAATACAGAAGCAAACTAATGAACACAGCTACACAAAATATACATTAACCAATTGCAAACTAAACTAAAAACCTTAAAAAATACATTTTAGAACTTCGTGATACCCTCATAAAATGCAGCAAACTAAGGGTATTAAAACAATAGTCATTATTTTAGTTGCTATGCATCAAGTCTAAAAGATCAGATAAAGGAAATGTTTTGATTCAATTTAAATACTTTAAAATTGGAAATATGTAATAATTGATAGTATAAATTTTAAAGAATATACACAAATGATTGAACAGGTTTTATATTCAGTAACTTGCATGGTTTTTACACTGGCACTTTTATCACTAATTTAGGAGAATCAGATGCATTTCCCTCCATATACTTAGGCACTAAGATTTCAAATTTATAAATATGGTAGTATCTTAAATATTAAATTTTTACATGAATATTGGGTTCATCCTTGTTTTCCTTTGTTTCCTAGGTATTATCCAGTTTTTTAAGGAAAACACTTTTATATCACAATCAAAACTTGTCGTGGTTACTAGACTGTAGCCGTAATTGGGTTACAGTCATTTAGATTCATTATTTGGAATTATACTTACTAAGGCAGACCTAAATGAAACTTATTTTCTAGAACAATTTCACATTTGCATTTACCTGCACTGCAGAATGGGCTCAAGCAATATTTTAGCTGTTAGGAAATATTTAATTTACTTAAACTTGTTATCTTTGGCTACTTGGAACTCCTACTAGAGTAGTCAACTTTCCTTTGAGTTCACTTTAAACTATATCTGATTCATTCCAAATAAAAGATTTTTTAAATAGAAGTTAGACTTCATTAAGGTATTAACTTTAAATCTGAAAGAAAATTAATGTATTGAAATTTTCAAGTTTGACAAGTTCATTAAAATTTTTTAGCATGTCTTGATACATTTACTTATCAGCTTTTTATTCTTCTTTCTGCTGGCATTTCCTTAATGTTTGTTTGCTTCACCTCTCTGGTTCATTGGATTGCTACTATTTATGTTTTCATGGACTTTATCTTCACAGTTTACTATATCTTGTAAAGCCTTTTCCACATTTGTTTGGCCAAGTGTACTGGCTGTTTTTGGCAAGGTCATCTGCAGTGCACACCACAGGGTAGTACGTGCTTTCCGAGTAGCCACACACATCTCTTTAATTGCTGAAGCAAGGGCAAAAACATCTGTAAAAAAACCATTCAGGATCAGTTCATGTTAAACACATTTTATATATCTCTCAACTCTTAAAAAGCACAATGTTGTGCTATTAAATGATCAAACATTATTATTTTTATAAGAGAAGGATGGCTATTGACTGGACTAAAGTATTTGACTTAATATTTAAAATTGTTCATACTCTATTTCTGACTTGTAGGACAATGACTGTGCTTTGGGTAGAACACAGACTTACAGAACAGAGTTATAATTAAATGAGTAAAATTAACAAAACTGATCAAAGTACTTTTGGAGTAAATTATGTGGGCATCAGTTACTGATTTATTCCTTAGGAAAGTGTAAATTTTAGAATCCAACCTTTTAACTTCAGAATCTGATTTTAACAATATTCAAATTATCTCACTGCCCTATCAAAAGAATATGCATTAACACATACCTCTGTCATCTTGGCATCTAGGAACTCCTTGCCTTTGCCTGTTTGATGCATTAACAATTTCATCCTTTCTACGTGACTGTACAATGTGAATGGACTCCAAGTGTCTATCAAGAGCAGTAGAGATATTGGCATGAAGGGGAGAACTTCGAAGACGTTCCATTTTGCCTAGTAGAGTCACCACCTAAGGGAAACATTTTAAATTTTGATAAGGCATGTAACCACATTACCCTGTCTTTTAAGTAAGGACAAATCTTCAATGAAGCAGAATAGAGAGGAGAGCAATAATATTCATCTAATACATAACTGAATGCCTACTCTATCCTGATACCATGCTGAGGAAAACAAAGATGTAAAGTCAGCCTTAAAAAAAAAAAGTCACCCTTTTGTACCTACTTGTTCAGTAATCTGTTCATGGGAATGAGCAACAGTTTAAAAAATCAAACATTCAAATATTTCCATGTCACTGACAGTGCAAATTTAAGATCTAATATTGTTTCTGGCAAATAAGAGAACAGCCTGCAAATAGAACATTTATAGGAGGTACTGTAATCTAAAGGGGGGAAAAAGCGCTAAAAGGGAGAAGTCCTAGATTGATTAATCCTGATCTCAGTAGGTCCTTTCTGGGCTTCCAATATTCTCCTTTTGGAAATCAGAAATATTCAAATCATACTGACTAGTGGTAGTTTTAAGGAATCCCTAATCCAATATACCAGTAAGGGGAGTATATTTTAGTTGTATACACCTAAAGTCTCCATTTCTAAACTTGAAATGTATAAAAGTTAAGAGAAGTTTTTCAATAATTAGGATTTGAAAATCAAATAAATACAGTAATTGCCTTTGGGAACTAAATGTTTTAAAATTCACATAGGAACTTGGTGTTTCGTGATGGGAGAGTAGAAAAATATTTTTCAATTAAGAAGCCAATGGGGGGCAGCCCGGGTGGCTCAGTGGTTTAGTGCCACTTTCAGCCCAGCGCCTGATCCTAGAGACCTGGGATCGAGTCCCACGTCAGGCTTCCTGCATGGAGCCTGCTTCTCCCTCTGCCTGTATCTCTGCCTCACTCTCTCTCTCTCTCTTTGTGTTTCTCATGAATAAATATATAATTTTTTTTAAAGGAGCCAATAGGGGACACCTAGATGGCTCATCAGTTAAGCTCTGCTTTCAGCTCAGGGCATAATCCTGGGGTTCAGGGATTGAGTCCCACATCAGGCTCCCTGAGGGGAGCCTGCTTCTCCCTCTGCCTGTGTCTTAAAAGTTTTTTTTTTTTAAGAATTGTATAAAGCAAACTAGAAAGTAGTACAGGTAAAAATATTTTAACGCTTTGTGATCTAATGTTATTTTTTTTTAAGATTTTATTTATTTATTCATGAGAGATACAGAGAGAGAGAGAGGCAGAGACACAGGCAGAGGGAGAAGCAGGCTCCATGCAGGGAGCCCGATGTGGGACTTGATCCCAGGTCTCCAGGGTCACGCTCTGGGCTGAAGGCAGGCGCTAAATCGCTGAGCCATCCAGGGATCCCCTGGTCTAATGTTCTAAATATAGATAGAATTTTTACAACAGGGATCCCTGGGTGGCGCAGCGGTTTAGCGCCTGCCCTTGGCCCAGGGCACAATCCTGGAGACCTGGGATCGAGTCCCACATCGGGCTCCCTGTATGGAGCCTGCTTCTCCCTCTGCTTGTGTCTCTGCTGTGACTATCATAAATTAAAAAAAAAAAAAATTTACAACAGCTATAAACATAATCTAAATTAATGTGAAGCATAAGCAAAGCTGGAAAAAGTTTAAGTCTGCAATCCTTTGATATATTGCCTAGAAATATATTACTGAGAAAAAGGAATTTTAACCTTGAATAGTTTTAAGAGAAAATAATATAAAATTGAAGTTTTTATTAACATTAACATCTGGCTATAATCCACGTTGGTATATGACTATACCCCTAATAAATCCATTGTACAAATTTACAAATTTGATAAAAGAATTTCAACTGACCAACTGAAAGCTAAGTAAAATCAATATTTTTCCATTGAAGTAGTTCATATCTATATTTTAAAGACAGCAAGGTACAAGAAACTGATGTTCAATAAAACATACTCTTGATTTTTCTAATTCTTGAAATAGCTTTTATTCAATCACAGAAGCAAGCTGTCTTCTTCACTGCATGCTTTTTCCTAGAATCTTTTTTTTTTTTTAAGATTTTGTTTATTCATAAGACAGAGAGGCAGAGACATAGGCAGCCCTCTGTGGGGAAGAATGATGTGGGACTCAATCCCAGGGCCCTGAGGATCACAACCTGAGCCAAAGGCATACCACTGAGCCAGCCAGGCATCCCCAATTTTTTTTTTTAAGATTTATTTATTCATGAGAGAGAGAGAGAGAGAGAGGCAGAAACACAGGCAGAGGGAGAAGCAGGCTTTCTGCAGGGAGCCCGACATGGGACTTGACTCCAGATCCTGGGATCACCCAGGCATCCCCCCTTTTTTTTCTAAGTTTATTTTTTTTTTAAGTAATCTCTACACCCAGCATGGGACTCCAGCGGACAACCCTGAGATCAAGAGTCAGACACTCCTCCAACTGCAGCAGCCAGGCACCCCTCCCAGATATCTTTTATCATATTTGGAAAGCAGTATAAATTTTTAAGAAAAGGTCAAAAAAAGGGGAAACTTTACCCTAATCTATTAAATTCTAGAAAATTCAGGGGTGCCTAGGTGACGGACTCAGTTGGTTAAGCATCTGCCTTTGGTTCAGGTCATGATCCCAGAATCCTGGGATTGAGCCACATATTGGGCTCTCTGCTCAGCAGGGAGCATGCTCCTCCCTTTCCCACTCCCTCTGCCTGCCACTCTGCCTACTTGTGCTCTGTTAAATAAATAAAATCTTTAAAAAAATTATAGAAAATTCTCAAATTACAAAGGAAATAATAGGAATAACACATTTGCGATTTATTTTTTTAAAATTCTTTATTTATGATAGTCACACACACAGAGAGAGGCAGAGACACAGGCAAAGGGAGAAGCAGGCTCCATGCAGGGAGCCCGATGTGGGACTGGATCCAGGGTCTACAGGATCACACCCCAGGCTGCAGGCGGCGCCAAACCGCTGCGCCACGGGGGCTGCCCCACATTTGCGATTTAAATTACAAAATGACCTATCAGGATTCTTTACATTTGAAGTGCTATACTAATTTTATAAAACAAGACTATTTTCTTTTTTTTAAGATTTTTTTTTAAGATTTTATTTATTTATTTGAGAGAGTGACAGAGCAAGCATGAACAAGGTGGTGGGGGGATGGGCAGAGGGAGAGGGAGAAGCAGATTCCCCTCTGAGCAGGGAGCTGATGCGGGGCTTGATCGCAGGACCCTGGGATCAGGACCTGAGCCCAAGGCAGATGCTTAACCACCTGAGCCACACAGTCGCCCCTTTTCTTAAGATTTTATTTATTTATTCATGAGAGAGACAGAGACAGAGACACAGGCAGAGGGAGAAGCAAGCTCCATGCAGGGAGCCCGACTGAGACTCAATCCCAGGTCTCCAGGATCACGCCCTGGGCTGAAAGCAGCACTAAACCGCTGAGTCACCTGGGCTGTCCTTATTTTATTTTCTTAAAGATTTATTCATTTATGACAGACATAGAGAGAGAAGAAGGACATAGGCAGAGGAGAACCAGGCTCCCAGTGAAGAGCTGGATGTGGGACTCAATCAGGGATCCAGGATCCAGGATCATGACCTGAGCCAAAGGCAGATACTCTACCACTGAGCCACTCAGGCATCCCTGTTTTGTTTTTTAAAAGATTTTATTTATTTATTATTTGTGAGAGAGCGAGCGCACAAGCAGGGGGAACAGCAGTGGGCTCCAGCAGAAGCAGCAGGAGAAACAGGCTCCCCACTGGGCAGGGAGCCCAACATGGAGCTCAATCCCAGGACCCTGGGATCATATCCTGAGCCAAAGGCAGGTGCTTAACTGACTGAGCCACCCAGGCGCCCCTAATTTGGGTTTCTTAAAGAGGAGCTATTTAAATGACTAAACCTACTTTTAAAATGATTAAGTGTGGGGGTGTGGCTCAGCAGTTGAGCATCTGCCTTTGGCTCAGGGCATGATCCCAGGGTCCAGGATGGAGTCCCTCATCAGGCTCCTTGCTGGAAGCCTGCTTCTCCCTCTGCCTGTGTCTCTGCCTCTCTCTGTGTGTGTCTCTCATGAATAAATAAATAAAATCTTTAAATAAAATAAAATAAAATAATTAAGGGGGGATGTTATTTCCCTTTTCCTAAGTATTACTCATAGTTCTAGGACCAAACATGGAAAAGAATATATTTCAGAGTTATGTATAAATGTGATTTAAAAATCCTTCAGGAGGGGATCCCTGGGTGGCTCCGTGGTTTGGCACCTGCCTTTGGCCCAGGGCGTGATCCTGGAGTCCTGGATCGAGTCCCACATTGGGCTCCCGGCATGGAGCCTGCTTCTCCCTCTACCTGTGTTCTGCCTCTCTCTCTCTCTCTCTCTCTGTCTATCTGAATAAATAAATAAAATCTTAAAAAAAAAAAATCCTTCGGGAGGATCCCTGGATGGCTCAGCGGTTTAGTGCCTGCCGTCGGCCCAGGGCATGGTCCTGAGGTCCCAGGATCGAGTCCCACATCGGGCTCCCTGCGTGGAGCCTGCTTTTCTCTTTGCCTATGTCTCTGCCTCTCCCTCTCTCTATCTCTCATGGATAAATAAATAAAAATATTAAAAAAATAAAGGTTAAAAAAAATCCTTCAGAACTCTGACTTGTTTTAAAATTTTATCAAGCAATTAAAAAAAATCCATTATTGGGTGTTTTTGCAGCTTACTCTGGCTTGTTCCCGAAGTTCATCCACAATTAAGCGATCAACTCGAGATGGGTTGGAGGTCAGCCTTGGAATTGGAGTGTTGTTAGTACTGGATACTTTTTTCCCTGGGTAATTCTTGGCCAGAGCCAATTCAGTCTGTAAAAAAATTATATAATTTTTAGATGCCGAATTTTCTAAATATGATTCAATCCTGAATAACATTTCTCTTAGGCCTAAGAAATAAATTGAAAATCACTACTTTAAAAATTTTTCACTTTCAAAAGGTAACAAATACAAACCAAATACCACCATATTTTTCTATCATATTTAATGCATATAATATATGTGAAGGCACCAACAGTTTAATACTTAATTAAAAGAACTTTATTTTTTTTAAATTTTTATTTATTATAGGCACACAGTGAGAGAGAGAGAGGCAGAGACACAGGCAGAGGGAGAAGCAGGCTCCATGCACCGGGAGCCTGACGTGGGATTCGATCCCGGGTCTCCAGGATCCCGCCCTGGGCCAAAGGCAGGCGCTAAACCGCTGTGCCACCCAGGGATCCCAATTAAAAGAACTTTAAAAGAAAATTTTGTTTTTAGGTAGTCTCTACACCCAACGTGGGGCTCCAACTCACAACCCTGAGATCAAGAGTCACATGCTCTTCCAAATGAGCCAGCCAGGCACCCCCAAAGAATTAAACTTTTAACCCATTAAGAGTGCAAAATAAACTTTACATAAATAGCAATTTTTTTAAGTTTCAAATTTTTTAAGTTATCTAATTCCTTACAGTCATGGACTTAAAAACTGTACATTATAGAAGAATTAAGCTTAGAAATAAGGTGAGTACTCAAACTACACTAACAAAATAAAAAAGATATGCAGAGGGAACATCCTAAGTTCTAAATGGATAGCTCTGTGTTACCTTTTTTCTCTCCTTTTCTAATGCTCTCCATTGTTCATAGCATTCTTCTAGTCGAATATGAAGTTCACTGGCTGGTCCACTACGGGTTTTAATTGGTCTTTGAAATCCAAAAGTTGGCACGAAACCAGAAAAGGAATTATCACCATACATCATATCATTAAAATAAGGGTATAAATGGCTTAAGTCATCATAAGAAAACAAATCGTAAGAATCCAACAGTGGAACAACTGAATGGCCAAATGGGTGAGTGGATCTTAGGGGAAACCCATTTGAGCCAAGTGGTTGAAAACTTTGATTATGCCTTAAATCTCCCATCATATAATTATTAGAAAAGCATGATGCCTGTGTGCGATTCACACGGCTATTAATATTGTTGTCTCCACTTCCCTGTCTGTGGCTATTAAAATGACCCTGTGACTCCAACAGATCTTGATATGTATTTTGAGATAAGCCATCTAAATGCTTTGGACCTTCTTCAGGATCATAATGTCCACTCTGAGGCTTAGCTTGAAAATTATGTTTGTTTACATTTTCAATGATCCCATACTGCTGAGCTGAATAGTTATCACAAAATCCATTTGGTTGCTTTATTTTTTTATCAGTAACTGATTCAAAGAGATTTTCTTCTCCAGTCTTTGTCAGTCCTTCCATGTGATTGACAGATTGAATTCTTTCTGCACCATTGTAACTGAAATCAAAACTAGAAAATGCTGAAGGGTTTTCTTGGCAATACTTCTGAAATAAACTGCTATTTGGGGTTAAATTTGTGGATAACAGTTGGGGGAAATCTGAAGGATGGTTAGAACCTTTTGAAGCTACACTTAAGTGACTATTTAATTTCATCAAGTTACCTTGATTCCGATAAGGAATAGGAGTGTTACTTTTTGTTTGAACATTCATCCACGTTGGTCTACTTAAGTTGATACCTCCTGAAAATGTTGCTGAGTTTGATAATAAATTCATGGGTTTAAAATACTCTGAATTTGGGGGGTCAGGTTTAGTAAACTGTTGTTTTTCTGTGACATTAGCAAAATCATTATTAGCTGGACAAGCTGTGTGAGGTTTTAGTCCATATTCTGATTTTATGCCAAAATCAGCAGTGAATCCTGCTTCCTTTGCAAACTGTTTTTCTGTCAGATGTGGTGTGGTTTTTGGAAATGTGAAATTCTGCTGGTCAGGTATTGTCTCCTCCATTTTTTTCTGATTTGCTGGTTTAACCTGAAATAACTTGGTATAGGTGTCTGCTTCTAGAGTTGGTGTTTCAGGTGTACCATTAGCTAATTTTTTACTATCTTGGACACTAAAATTCGAACACTTATTAAGCTTAGCCTTATTAGGATGAACATATTCTGGGTATCTACAATAATCTGCATTTTCACTGTATCTATTAAATTGAGAAAGAAACATTTCTGCCCTTTTTTGCTGTAATGGTACTTCAAGACCTTTAGCACATATTTTCTCTCTTCCATAAGAGTAAGTATCAACTCCTGATTCTTTCATGATGTCAGACAGACCAGTTTGTGATGTAAAACAGTTTTTGATAAATGGATAATCTTGGAATGTTGTCTTAGCTGTATCATTTGTCTGGATATTGTAACAGTTAGAATGATCACTTCGTGAGGGGTACATCCATTGTTCTTCAAGGTCTAAACCAGTAAATCCATGATAAAGTTCATCTACTTTTTGTTGTGGTATTAGATTACTATTATGCAGGTATTGCTTTTCCACTGTTGACACAGATTCACCACTATAAAAAGCTTGCTGAGAGATGGCTGTATCTATTGGCCTTTTGGTTTCTGTTAAGAGGTCATGGTGATCTGCAAATCTGCTTGTGTTCATTGGCCAAACTGACTTTAAATTGGAGGAGCAGGTCCTAGAACAAGTAAATATATTTAATTACAACTTAGGTTTTAAATGACTTTATTTCCTCATTGGAGAAGTTAGGTTTTCAAAATACTTATACTGCCTCATTGTCCCTTTCTAACTCTGCCTTATAAACTACTATTACATCCAAATAATTGTCTATTGCTTGAAATGTGTCACATGCTACATAAATATGCATTTTAATCTTAAAATGTCTTCAGTATACTTTCCCAAGAAATCTTAACTAAGGTCTGAGGCTGGTGACTGCATGGTCTTGCATGAATTGTTTATCTATAGAAAGCAGAAAACAAAATAAGTTTTTCCTTTAATTAGGTTATTATATAGGTGATTATAAAAATGTTGTTGACTGCAATTTTTTAAATGAAAAATATATACTTTGCTGAAAATATTACTGAAATTAAAATATTTTAATTGGTTACATGTGTACTGCATATTTCCCTATCTAGGAAATAAGACATTTGGGTAATATGGCTTCCACACCCCCAAAAATAATCACAGTATATTAATTTTTTTTTTACCATATGAATAAACTCCATACGTATTTTTGCATAGCAGTAATGATAGTTTTATTCTTTGGGATATATCTATAAAAGCTCTTTGGAATTTATACTCTTTAAGCCAAACTTTAGCTCATGAACTCAAGGGAAATAGCTCTGAATTATGCAAGAATAATTTTCCAAACTAAAGTTCTTAATAGCAAATTAAACTTTAGTATGAAACTTGCAATTAGATGACAAGTACCTCATGAAAATCAAGTAAATCTATTTAAGTAAAAATAAAATCTAATAAATACTGTAATTTAGTATATGTGAACTTAAAAGCTTACTATATACTATATGGCTTATAAATATACTAACCCCTCAGCAAAATACGGCTGTGACTTATCTTGTTCTTCCAAAATATTGGACACAAGTCCGTATAAGTCTGTTTCACTGCCATAGTCATTTCTTTCCGTTTGAATCCTAAAAATAAATGAATATCACGTGTAAATTCTTTTCCTCCTACTGAAATATATTGATTTATATTTCCAGACTTATTATACCATTACTTTTCTATAAAATATTTGGATTGGATTTATACCATCATTTCAAATAAAGAGGAAACAGGAACTCAAGAATATTTTACACTTTAGCATAGTGTCTAGGCTATGTAAGTGTTTCTCCTTCATTTCACATCCTATATCTAGTTTACAATGTTTGCTTAACTCTTATTTGTCCAAAACACATGCTATTCATTTTAGGTTCAAGATATAAATCCCTGACCTCTGATGTTTTAGACAGGCTTGGCACCATGGCTCTTTCTAAAAGTGTATCTGGTACCATTATACATTATTCTATCAACACTTGCTCAGTTTTTTCATCTGTGATTTGAAAGCCATATGAATCTGCTGCTCTATGTTTGTGACTCTTGAGACCAAATGTTGGATTTAAAAAGTGAAATGTGATATGGTCATCCTAGATATCACACTAATATTGCAGTTGTCCCTTAAAGTAACAGATTTGTGGGCTATCCCTAAATACTTACTAAAGTAACCAGAGCTCCATGTACCAGAAATCCTACCTTGTGACTAATACTGTCTAAATAATACAAAATGTAAAAACCAGGATGCCTGGGTGGCTGAGCAGTTGAGCACCTGCCCCTGGCTCAGGGCGTGATCCGCTGTCTTAGGATCGAGTCCCACAAGCAGGCTCCCCACAGGAAGCCTGCTTCTCCCTCTGCCTACATCTCTGCCTTTCTCTCTCTGGTCTTTCATGAATAAATAAATTTTTTTAAAAATGTAAAAACCACAAGGAGATGGAAAATTAGTGTTTTACCTCCTATGTATTTAAAGTAATTTGTTCCTAGAAGTAGTATGTTGCTTTAAGTTATAACTTCTTGTTTTCTCATATTTTATAGTATTAGGACATTAAAAAATATATATCTTATATTTGCATAACATTCAAACATTTCATTGATCTTCATAACATAGGATGGGCAGGTATTAGTAATCATTCAGATATTGAAGAATGAGCATTTGAGATTTTAAGAAACTTGTATTTTGCAAGTATATGTAATTTGCCAAACTACACTTGCTGAACAAGTGGTCTGCCTACAAGTCTAGTGCTTTTTCCACTATGTTGTGTTATTTCAAAAAGATTCAATGTAAAGTTTTTTTGGATAATAATTTATTAGTATATATCTAAAAAAATTCAATGTAATATATACTAAACCTTTAATAGTTGTTATTGGGAAGTGTTAAAGGTTAAAGTGAAATTCTGCTTTCTCTTGTATATTTCTGTAGCATCTAAATTTCTTCAATGAACATATATCAAATTATTTTAAAATATTAAAAATATTCTGTAGAATTATATATTAGTCTAATAAAATCACTATTTTATAGAACTTACCAAAATTTTCAAATTTTTAAGTAATCTCTAGGGGCATCTGGATGGTACAGTATGTTAAGCAACCAACTCTTGGTTTCAGCTCAAGTCATGATCTCAGGGTGGTATGAGACTGACCCCCACAATGGGTTCTGCATTCAGTACAGTCTGCTCGAGATTCTTTCCCTCTCCCCCTCCTGCTTATGCTCTAAAAAACTAATAAATCTTATTAATAGTATTATTATTAATAATAAAATCTCTCTAAAAAATAATAAAAAAATAATCTCTACACCCAACATGGAGCTTGAACTCACAACCCTGAGATCAAGAGTCACGTACTCTACCAAATGAACCAGTCAGGCACCCCTCTTAAAAATCTTATTAATTGAAAAATGTTAAAAATTGGGGAGCCTGGCTGGCTCAGTCAGTGAAGCATGCAACTCTTGATCTCAGGGTCCTGAGTTGAGCCCTACATTAGACACAGAATTTACTTTAAAAAAAAGGAATAAACATATAAGATTTTTAAAATAATTATTTTCCAATTAAACTAAAGATGCATCAACCTCTATCATCTGATCCCTTTTATATAATTAAAATAAAGGTAGATGTCACACCCTTAGGCTTCTCTTTGTGACAGGCTCCCACAATATCCTATATTTCATTCTTTAAACCTACTATACTTGTGCTCAGCAAGTCCATCATCATCATTATTGTAATATCTATAATGGTAGAGATAATATTGGCATGTTAATTCTAATACCCCCGTAGGAGAGATCTGGCATAAGAGTAGGCCTTTATTATTAATGGAATTGAAAAATATCTAAAACTATCTTATATTTTATAAGATTCTGTTTATTGTATACTTATGAAGAAAATAATTACTGAAAATTTAGAACTAGATGAAAAAATATCAAATTGTAACTCATTTACATAAGTTATCCTTAGAAAGAGGAACTTAAGATTTATTCAGTAAGGGTTGCCTCTAATGAATAAAAAAAAAGTAATGAGCTAAAAATTATATATACGTAACTGCTAGTTTAAGGTTTCTAAAAATTTGATAAACATCAAATTGTAATGCCATGACATTAAAATGCTGATATAGGGAACAAAGAGCTAATATAATTGGGTTCCCATGTAATCAAACTTAAAAAATAACTTCATTTAGCCTGGAAAATCTGATTTATTAATTTACCTGTTCTTTACATTGATCTGAGAATTAGAAGGCTGTTTAATATCGTCTCCATAAGTAGACCATGGTGCATAAAAAAGTGAAGAATCTACAGAACTTGAATATTCTGTTGATGAAGAAAGTGGAGTATAGGTCTGCCTTAGGTCAACACTGTCTTCACTCTGCAATTTTAAAGACATGTTTGCATATCAGACACATCTAAATTACATTTACTATAGAATATTAGTGAAATAATAATAGAGGAAATAACAGGGCAGCCCAGGTGGCTCAGCAGTTTAGCGCTGCCTTCAGCCCACGGCCTGATCCTGGAGACCCAGGATCAAGTTCCATGTCAGGCTCCCTTCATGGAGCCTCCTTCTCCCTCTGCCTGTGTCTCTGCCTCTCTCTCTGTATCTCATGAATAAATAAAATCTTTAAAAAAATAGAGGAAATAACACATGTGTGTAAGAGTTGGGAGATTTAAAATCTAGACTTAGCCACTTAAGCTTGTTTTCTACTAGGGGTTGGCAAATTTTTTCTGTAAAGGGCCAGATAATAAATATTTTAGGGTTTTCTGGCTGTTAAGCCCTCTGTTGACCTCAGCTCTGCCATTCTAGAATCAAAGCAAATCACAGACAATATATAAGGGGCATAGCTGTGTTCCAATAAAATTGTGTTTACACAATCAGGCACTTGGCAGATCTGATCTTTACTTATTGCTCATCCCTGGTATGAAACACTTACAATTACTGCACTTTTTTCTGAACAGATAAATGCTGTTTGGACACTACCAGTGTTATTTTCAAGAGATCATTTACAAGATTGTCTTAATGCCCCCACTCTGTGTAAAACAGTGAATGTCATTTATACAGAATTTTCAAAGAAATTCCACAGAACATTATATTCATTTAACCTTGTGACACGAGTACTCTATTTTAAAAAGAGGAAAACTGAGGCTACAAGTTACTGAGCTGGATAGGTGACAAAACTAACCCCAAACTCAAGACCTTACTCCTACTGTAGGACCTTTTAAATAATCTCTTCAATTTTCAGCCTAGCTTCTAGTTCCAAGAGATATTATAAAAATGACATGATATATAAAATTTTATGATCTCTTCAGAAATTTAAAAGTTATTATTACTATATTATTACAATTAGAAAAAAACAAGCTAATTGAGTAAATAAGGCAAAAAGTCTGAATTTAAAATTTTATTGATTTAAAATACTGTCTCTTGGGACGCCTGGGTGGTTCAGCTGTTGTTGTCTGCCTTTGGCTCAGGGCATGATCCCTGGGTCTGGGATCGAGTCCCATATCAGGCTCCTTGCAGAGAACCTGCAGCTCTGTCTGTCTCTCTCTGTCTGTCTCTCTCTGTGTCTCTCATGAATAAATAAATAAAATCTTTAAAATAAAATAAAATATAAAATAAAATAATATAAAATAAAATATAAAATAAAATAAAATACTGCCTCTTTCCAAAAGGGATTGATGTTCAGTGAAAATAATTTTAGATACTTAAAATAGAATGAATTTAACACATGATAAAGATTAAACTGAAATATATTTTATTCTAGAAAATGCTTCTTTAAAGAAGTCTGAAATATAGATTCATAATTTTTAACTCTCTAAATGAAACCTGATGTAAAAACTATAACTATCTGGACACAGAAGTGGTTATTTTCTTATAAATACAAAGGAAATATAATCATGACTAAAAATATTTTCTAATTGCTTTTTTCTATTAAAATTTACATTGAGAAGACAAGAATAAATTTATGTTCATCATAGACATAATTTAAAATACAACTCTTTAAATAACAGAATTTATATACTATATGAATAAAATATGAAAATCTCTTCCAATCACCCACCTTTAGGAATCTCAAATATTTTACAACCATTTATTTAAATTCTGGTTATGACTGCTATTTGAAAACTACACATTATAATTTTAGATATCATGTGGACTATTCTGAAGCCGTGGAAAATGAGGCACCAAAGTAATTTTGCTAAGTGTGTCACTAAAAACTACTTTTCCAGAATTTCTTAGTGAGCAGTAACTTTTACAAAGGATTTTTTCTTGAGAACCTTTCATAATTTTATTCCTTTAGTTCTGAAGTTTTTATCATAAGCCCACCTTAACTGTCTTTTAGGTATGAAACATCCAAAAATGATATAATTGTTCATCTTTTTGAGATAGTGACTTAAAAGAAGTATTTTCAGGTTATGCAATATCAAACAAGATATACAGTATTTGAAACTAACTGCATTTTAGGAGCATTCTTTAGAGTTTAATTTACATTTTAAAGTAAAATTTGAGGATTAGAAAAATTAACTCCTTTTATAAGATTGATTTCAATTTTGTATTCTAGGATAAAATAAAAGCTAAAGTAACAGGGTGGATTCAAATGATTATACTTTAAATATCTGGATCCTTTTCAGTTAAAACATTTGTGGGAATGAAGTATGCAGATGATTGGGGCTGGTATATGAATCAGTGTAGATAACTGCAAAATGTATCACTTTTATCCTTGATATACTTAGTTGACTGAAATTAAATCCAAGTAAATTTTAGGAGGTGTATAAACATTATAGAGAGCAGTGGAATACTAGTCTTGGCGGTGAAATGACCTGCATTCCCCTTGGGCTTTGTCACTTAAAGCATTAATCAAGCTCTCTGAGCCTCAGTTTCTCAGTCCGTACGCTGAATGTAATACTATACAAAGTTGTAGTGTGGATTAAATAAAATTATTTATTTGGGGATATTGTTATAATTCAAAGTATAACAATATCAACACTGATGTCCTGGTTAAATAATTTCAAATGGAAATGCCTCACACCACCCTAAGCCCAAATTTAATACGATTGATAAAACTAAATGTTTTAGGTGGGGTAAAAGGTAGCATGTAACCTAAGACACTGCTGAGGCCAGAAAAATGAAGAAATACAGAAAAGCTTCACTTTCAAGTTATCAAAAAAGTAATGTTTGTGCTGACTTGCAATAAATGCTTTTGAAGGAAAAACTATTTTAAGGTTTTACTAAGCAAAGTGGGTTTTCTTACATGTCTGACCTCATGTTACACTGAAGACAAAATGATAACAAGAATCGATGAAAAATCTTCCTCGACTTGTTTTTGAAAGTATGTGCGGTGCAGACTCTACTGAAAATGTTACTGGCTTAAGAAAGAAAGAGAAGGAGGGAAAGAGAAAGAAAGGAAAGGAAGAAAAAATAGGCTTTCTGGTCCTAAACTTGGAGCTATCTAAACACTTAAGTGAATGGGCTCCGCGTAAACGACTTTGATTTAAAAACAAACAAAACCACAACCCTCTAACAAAGGATGGACCTGCGATTTGTAGCAATCATAGAAGGAAGTGGAGCCAGTCAGCATCACGCTGTTGAACACATCCGTTAGTCTACTGCTGGGGTCGGCACCGAGGTTCCAGCAGCGATTCGCACCTCCACGGAACGCTACCTTGGGCTGCGCACGACAGGGAGAGGAAGCGGGAGAGGCATCACGCACGGCAAAGCCGGGCTGGAACCGCGGGCGGCTGTCGCACCGCCACTGTTCGCGCAGCTCAACTCAGAATCCACCCCGAGGGCACCGATCACCGGGCCCGCGCTTCTGTCCCCGGGATTTCCTCTCTGCCGACCCCGAGGCGCGGTCCTCGACGGCCCTGACAGGCCCACGCCGGCGGCCACTACGTCAGCGCCGCCGCCGCCCGATGTGGTGGAAAAGGCGGCGGCGCAGCCCCGGCGTCGCGGCTACTGCAGCCCCGGCCGGTCGGTCCTGTCAAGCCCGCTCCGCGCCCCCCAAGCCGGGGCCTGCGGGCCGCCGCGCCGCCACCACCCCCCGTCCGCCCCCGCCCTGCGGCCCCGGTGCCCCGTCGGGGTTCCCCCCTGGCGACCTGCCCTCTCCCGCCCGGCCGCGGCCTCCTCAGAGAACCGGTCTGGGGACGCGCCGGCGCCTCAGCGGCTCCTCACCGTCGCCGTCCTCCAAGCCCGGCGGCCACCCGGACCTTGACGGTCCCCACCGGTTACCTCAAGTCCCTCCCTCAGGCCTGGGGGGCGAGGGAGCGGGCAGGTGTCTCCGCCTCTCACCTCCATGGGGGCCCCCAGCCCCTCCTGGACTAGGTACAGCTCCTGGGGCACGGGAGTGAGGGGGGGGCGTCGAGGCCCGGCTCCCTCAGCCCGCACCCCGTCGCTGCTGCTGCCTCCGCCGCCGCCACCGCCCCGGGCGCTGCCTGGAGCGGGTCTGTGGGTCGCGGGGCCGGAGCGGGGAGGGAGGGGCGGGGGGAGAGGCCGTTACAGTGCCTACCCCTGGCTCGCGACCCCGCACGCGACCCCGCACCGGCCCGCTCCACCCCACCCCACTCCCTGGTGTGAGGCCCGCCCCCCGCTTCGCACCCCGTCATTGGCCCGCTGACCAGCCAATAGGCAACCGCCTCCCGGCCTGTTACCCCCTAGAGACAAGGCCAAGAAGATGCCGTTAGCGGACCTCGCTCTTCCTTAGCTTCTGAGCCTTTCCCGCTCAAAGTAAGCCTGTTCGGGATTGGCCCTGACTGGCGAGCAGCAGCCCGGTGACTGGCTAATAGGGCAGCAGAGGGGCGGGGCATGGAAGGTGGGGAAGGAGTGCGGGCCTACCGGATGGGAGAAGTGATCGGAAGATTTGAGAAGTCGCTCAGCAACTGGCTGATTATACTAAACCTATCACTGGGCACCTTTTTGTCACCTGTGCATTTCCTTTTTGCCCCTTAGTCCCTCCCATAACTCCCAGAATCCTTTGGAGACGCCAAGAGAATAATAGACGTTCCCATTTACGGAAGGTGAGGAGCCCGTTGTGGAGTTGAGAGTTGTTGGGACGTGTCCTTCCGAGGGAGAGACGCCCTCTGTTTTAGACTCCAGGGCACCATGGGGATGAAGGCGTTTTGGTGTTAATGCAACCCTTGAACAAGGTGCACGCTGACCTGCACCAGACAAGCCATTTACGTGGGCAGGGCCATTTGGAGAGATGATAGTGGTTGGAGCATTGCTAAATGTTGTGGGCGTTGAAATATTGAAGATGAGAATCATAAATGCTGCAAACGCCTTTAAGTTGTTTATATTTAAAAATCAAAGCTTGAGAAGAGCTCAATAAAGTGGAAGATGTTCCTTAATTCAAAAGCAAATGGAGGGGGGGGAAACAAAAGCAAATGGAGATAGTA